TCTTCATCCAGATCGAAACAGGCATGGGGTGTGGATTGAACCCAGGATCCCTGGGGCTCTGCGGCGCGAGCTTTCGATCTATACGCGCTCCGAGCTGCGCTGCGTTAACACGCTCGGTCACCGATCCCCCCCCCCCCCCTTTTTTTTTCTTCTTTCTTTTATTGTTTGAATACTTCGTACAAAGCATACATTTCGAAGACACACTGACATTCCCGTAAGCCTTAAAACAAACATTTCCAAAAATCGGCAAACCTGCAAACTTCGGCTGTCATGGAGCTATTACACGGATCCAGGGCTGCCAACTCGAGGGAAATATCCCAAATTAAGGTAATGTTCCGGTCTATGTGGGGATAAGGGAAATCTTGCTGGTTTGAGGGAATTTTCGGGCATCGTTTATATCTGGAATCTTTGAAGGTCAATTATGTTGTTTTTTTTTTTGTTCTTTTTTTTTTTTTAGGTAACATCGAATGTCAGCGGCTTTGGTTATATTTCGGTTATTCCCTCCAGCCGTTTGGCGCTTTGTTGTGTGACCACCTGGACCATCTGGCAAAACTGAGCAACACTCAAAAACGTTTTTCGGCAAATCAATTTTAATAGCCCCCTCGCCCTCGTGAAAGCTATCGAGGAAGGGACAAGGCAAGTCGGTGATTCTGAGAGCGCCGATGTGCCTTCTCGAAAAGTAAAGCTCGAGTACAAGAAGAAATACTGCGATAACTGGAGATACAGACCTACCATGACTAGTAATATTTTGTGAAGTGCCGTGCACGAAATGTTACTGACTGTGTTTCGTGTGTTCGAGTTCGAGAACTCTCGCTTGTGTTGCACCTTTCGGTTTGAACTGACTATTATAAAAATCGCTAATGAAGTTATTAAAGCAGCACGATGTTTTGATGGCGCAGATAACATATATGGCGAAGGTAGGAATTCATTCGACAGTTTGAATCTCCCTTTGCCATATTGGCCTTGCCCACGATTTTGGCCCGATAAACTCAATTTTCCGAAACGTACGCGTGGCGTAAATGCTAAATAATATATGTTTATGATAAGAGTGGACGTGATGCAGAAAACAATGAATATTTAATATTATACAATTATTGGGGAAAGCGAGAAACATTTCGGCAGAGATACAGAAATTTTAGGCGTTCGCTAGGGAAATTTTGATTTTCCGTCTTGACAGCCCTGCGCAGATCTTAACAAAACCAGGCCGTCTAAAACTGGCGATCAATCTGGAAGTTCTTCCAAAACGAAATGCATTTTTCTAAGTTGACTGGTGCTCCGAGTAAAAAAAAAAAAAAAAGACACGCAAGTCGCGTATCAATGTCGGCATGTCGCACAATCATGCGGCTCTTCCATAAACTGGAGTCTGTGATTACCATGATTAGCTCGTATACGAAACAGAGTCGGTTTTCTCAACTGGCAGGAAATGTATCCCAAGTGCGGTTAACGGGGGTTCTTTTTTCAAGGTCCGTTGCAGAACGTTCCAACAGTCTAACGCGTGTTCAATGTACGCAGGTTCCTTACACAAAAAGGCAATATATAGTCCAGGGCACGAAGATACCCCTCTCTTGGAGCCCTGTCTTAATCGGAAGTGTCCCACTATATAAATTAAAAAAAAAAAAAAAAGTTTTCATGTGCAACAAGGTGTTGAACTGGTCGAGTTGGTAAAAGTTTGACATGGTGGGTGTAACAGCTTCAAAAAATGAGAACGATAGAAGGAATAGACACGGCAGGACAACAGCTGTACTCGCAACTGAAATGTTTTATTTGAAAAGGAAAAGAAAGCACTTACGTCAGAACCAGATAACACAGTGTGTGATCAAACAATACGCCACACAGAAGGCACGTGTCATCAAAATAGGTTCACTAGACTCAACTTATGCCAGTCATGGTGTGGCGCAAAAAGGACAGCTCCTTATCACATAAGACAACCGACGGCTCACTCACACACCTTTCTCCGAGGCACGAAATATAAAAGGCCTCGATAATTTCGCGAGTGACAATCTCTCTATGCCTCCCTTCAACCGTCACCTCGACAAAGGCCGGCTGACACGTGCAGTCTCTACAACGCAAAGGGAGGGATTTATATTTCTTTACACTACGAAGCGTATTTTGTTCTTGGAGTGAAGTTTATAACGTTCGTATAACGCATATAGTTCGCATAGCGTATAACGTTCGAGCTAATGATGTCAATATTCTTGATTTCTTGCAAGAGGCCCTCGATAGATTTTTGGTGTTTTCCTAGATGAACGGATTGACTTTTTTTTTTTTTTAACAAGTCGTTCTTGCATGCGTCGACAACTTCGTCCTTGAGAGATCAGTCAAAAGAAAGAAACACAGTACGTGGGTGACGCCTGAAATCTAAAACGAAACAAAAATCGAGTAAAAAAATTTTAGCCAAACTTAAATATTTTGATCCCTTCTCTCCGACATCAATTGCACGTCCTATCGTGCCTATCCAAATATATTTACTTCACCATCAAAATGCGCAACTTTTTCAAAGAAAATCCAAGAAAGTTTTGGCCGCACTTGACAAAAAAAAGAGCGTACCAATTTAGTGAGCATAGTCATAACGGGCAGACGCTTGTCGATGAGTAGTGCATCACTAGAGAGTTTAGTCATTTCGTTCCATCTGTGTACACTATTGATAACTCTGTCTTGCCATCATTCACTTATGACAATCGCGGCATCAGTGACTTCGTAGTCTCTATAAAAGGGATCCTTGATGGCCCTCCACGGATATACATTGGAAACTCGTGTGGCTGGAATGGAATCCCTAACGCTTTCCTAAAAAGGTACGCCGAATGATGCTTTAAGTTTCTTTACGCCATTTACTCTTGCTGTTTAAAAACGGGTCAGGTACCGCAAGACTGGAAAGTAGCCAAAGTAGTGCCTATTACAGCGGCGTAGTAACGGGGAATCTAAGGGCCCCAGATACAGGATAGCTTAGCTACGCCACTGTGCCTATATGTAAGAGTGGAGAGAAAAATAGAATTTGCAATTATAGACCATGTGTCGTTGTTGAGTTTATGCGTAGTTCTTGAAAATTTTCATTTTCACTTACATCATATCTTTTGTAGAATCTACAGCGTTTCTAATAGACAAACAACACAGGTTCCGTAGAGGATACTCGACAGTGACACAACTTCTCCACACGGTCCATTATTTCGCTACAGTAATTGATACTCATGGTCAAGTCGATGCTCTTTTCTTAGATTTCGCAAAGGCGTTCGACAGAGTTTCGCTTCGCAAGTTATTGCATAAGCTAAAGCAGGTACTAGATAATGATTGCTTCCTGAAATTGTTAGACTCTTACCATACCAACCATAAGCAGTTCGTGTCAGTGGGCAAAGCAGAATCCATTGAATTACCTGTTCTATCTGGAGCACCCCAGGGCTCATTACTCGGACCATTTTTTTTTTGTTGTTGTTTTTTATGAATGATTTGAATGAATGAACCCTCAATACTGATTTTTTTTTTTTTTGAGGTGTATGTACACTGTTTTTCAAAATAGCTTGCGTTCAAGACCATTTGCCAAAAGTGGCAAATGGTCTTGAACGTTAAGAAATGCTTGCAAATAGCAATAACGCTGATGAAAGTACCGCTCCCCCCCCCCCCCCTACACTATCCATTCCAATGGTTTAGCATTAGTCAGCAAATGCAAGTATCTAGGTGTTACTATTCCGTCTAATTTAAGCTCAACTTTTCACATTGGGCAAGTAATTGCCAGAGCGTCTAGAAAACTGCGGTCGCTGCGAAGGACAACCATACACCGCAGTCCTGAAACGAAGCTGACGGAGTATAAATCTCCAATCAGTCCTTTACTGGAGTACACTGACATCTTATGGGACCATCATTCTGAATCGTCTATAGACCAGTTGAAGGGAGCTCAAAGAAACATCGCTTAGGGTCGTTTATAATTCACATGGCAAAGAATCACATTTTTCACCGTTGTATGCTGTATGTTGTATGGTGTATGTATGGTGTATGTTGTATGCCGTTGTAAAAAAAAAAATCGTTCTGCTTACACCATGCCTTGGCCTTCAAAAACTGGCCGGCAGTATCTTCAAGATAAATAAAAATTCTAAAGAGAAAAGCACGGCTAAAAATTGATAAGCTCCGACCACTTCCTTTGAGTAGGCACTTAGTGGCCCAGACTCGCCGTCACAAGTCGAAAGAACAAATCAGGCAAGGCACTACACAATTGCACTACAATCGCCGCTCGTGTGGAAAAAGATCGCTTTGATCAATCAGAAAAAGAAAGCGCTCGACAACCTGTCGAATAAAGAGATGACACAGAGATAGACCACCACAACGAACACTCCGAAACAAGTTTTTCGGCTAGTGCGCTCACAGGAAGGGGCCCACGCAAAAAACCGCGAACTATCGATTGAACTTTTGAATATAAGTTATATAACTGACGGGAGTAGAAAGTTGGGCAAGTTGGTGATCATAATGATTAAAAAGCGCAACAAGACGACGGACACAGAAGGAGACACAGACACAGCACTGTGTCTGTGTCACCCTCTGTGTCCGTCGTCTTGTCGCGCTTTTTAATCGTTTTGAGTATAAAAGCGAAAACAGCTCAGAAATTGAAGAAGGCACCGAAGCTTGGCGACAAACAAATAAAGTACAAACCACGATCAAAAATTTACAAATGTCGACCGACCCGAAGTAACGGGTATTATGGTCGAACGATCAATGTTAGCAAACACTTTGGTTTTGGGCGCCCGCTCGCCACACACACGTGGCGCTCAACTCTGCCACCACCGTCTGGGGGGTGCCACGACCAGGCTTGCACCGCGTCTTCTTAGGGGAGTCACGATGTGAGACCTCCAACCGGCGCTTCGAACTCAGGACGTCATTGGTTCTTCGGCCTTCCTATCGGCTAATGACACAATCTGATTGGTTGCGGAGTTCTAATGAAATACTCTGGAGTCGCCCTGCTTTTCTTAAGCAGCGAGTGTACAGCTCGTGAAACAGCGAACTCGTTCTTCTCTCAGATCCTGGTCAAGAGCATGCTGAAGAAGCACTCGTTCGGCAACCCGTTCAAGGACTGTCCTCGGCACCGCGCAAGGTTCACCAAGGCGGCCAGGTCCAATTCGGCTCCTTCCTCCTTCGACGTCCTGCTAGAGAGGTGAGCGACCCCGGTTCGTGCCAACTTCTGACGCCCGTACACATATTTGCGTTTGAGTGCAGCTATACACAATGTCCTTGCAGCAGGGGGATGTCGCTCGCGGTACGCATAGCCGTTGACATAGCCCGCACTGACGTCACTTGGTCAGACATAATGGGTGAAAGGGCGCGTGAGGGCGTATGTTTTCAAGAACCAAACATCCTTACATCCTAGCAGCATCATGGTCTGAACTCTCATCACTTAACCCCTTTCTTGCACCCTCCTAACACCCTTCTTACACCCTTTCATAGTCTAAAGGTGTAAAAAGGGTGTTTTAGGCGTGTCGGACAGCCTTCTAACACCCTTCATCAGGGGCTCCGGAAGCGGGGAAGGGGAAGGGGGGGGGGGGGGGGGGGGGCAGGGGGGGCATTCGACAGGTTCTAAACCAGTGGGGGCATGCCCCCACACTCAAAGCTGTTCTGACCGCCGCCCCCCCCCCCCCTCTTCTCCCCTTTCACCACCCGTGAGGCTGTTGCATGTTGAAGCTGCACTCCATAGGCGAAACGAACGATGATTTTGGAAGCCTTGTTAACTCGTTCGTTTGAAGTTGTCATTCAGTGTTTGTCTAATATGTGCGTTCTCACTAATAAATCAGATTGGAGCCTTCACTTCTCTGCACTGCACTTCGTCAGTGGTCGTTGAGATACATATGTATAGAGAGAGAGAGAAAGAGAGGGAGAGGTGAACTACACAATGCGACATGAGCCCCCAGACGTCGCCCCCACACATCAGATTATACTTCCGGAGCCCCTGCCCTTCATATTAAACATGAGGCTGTCAAAAGGGTGCTTTTGTACCATTAAAGCTTTAAAGATGTAAAAGTTTCCTGGGTAGCTTCCGCTGCGTTAACGAGGCGCTTCTGGCCATCAGGAAGAGGGGCGGACTGATGTCACGTGCAAGCCATCGTCTGACGGAGTGCTACGGCGGACCAATGAGAAGCCGAGAAAAGAAAGGGAGGGTCACGTGCTTGCCCGCGCACTTCGTCGTCGCGCATCCGGTTGCCCGTTCGGAGATGGTCTCTCGCGTTTGCTTGATGGGGAGCGGTGGGGACTGCGGGAGCAGGTTATTCCAAAGCAGCGGTCACACTGTTGATACATTAAACAAAAGACAGAACAAAAAACAAACAAACAAAAAAACCTCAGACAGTGCAGGAAGAGGTGTGTTTCCTTCTTCCTGCCAACTTGTTATACAAACACTGTCTACACGCCTGTTCGAAGCATACATGACCCAAACATGCTTCGAAGATGCTCGAGTTCGCAGATAATTTTGTCATCATGTCTGCAGACCGTGTCTTTTGTGTGGAGTATGAGCAGTGTGACTGCGGCTCAAGGTTGCCATGATTCAAGCTAAACAGAAGTTGCGGAAACCAGCGAGAACGCCCCAAGATCGGCCATGCCGGCGCTGTCGCCGGGCGCCGCCATATTAGGCGTGGATTTCGGTTTAGTCGCTCGCGACGATAGCGCGTTCTTAATAGAGAGTCCCGCAACGCTGCCCGCAACTCGCTACGAGATCTGGGTTTTTTTAGTCGAGGCTAGCGACGCGCAAGTGCAGTAGCGGTATCTTCGTCGCAGATAGCTTAGCGGAGAGAGGAAAGCGGTCTACTAAAACTCCCGATGGAGAGCTTTCGTAGACCGCGTTTCTCTCTCCGCTACGCCCTCCGCAACGAAGAAGCCGCTACTGCGCCTGCGCGCCCATGGCCCTGACTGAAGAGTTCCGGGTATCGTAGCGGATTGCGGAGACCATTGCTGGACGCCGAAAACGATCTACGAAAACTCCCTGCTGGCTCTTGACTACTGTCGACTACGTTTCGGAGCAACTGCGCGTACAAACTTTGGGCAAATACTGTTCACCTGCCACAACTGAACGGATCGCGCTCAAACGCAAAATGTGTGTGTCCTTTGGAGCAAACTCAAAGAAGCAGTAAAGCATAGTTCAGCTTTTCGCAGAACGATTCTAATTTCCCCATTTACTTAGTGGCCCCTCCTTCTTTTTATGGCGTTTCAGAAAAGTTTCCATCGAGAGTCCGCTGCCAGCCCTCAACGAAATCAACTTCCTGGACCAGACGTAGCGCCGGTGCCGGACTCTTTCGTGCGTCGACGCGGGCAACGCCAAGCGCAAGCCGCGGCGCCGGGTGCTCCAGATGTCCCCGTAGCCCATGCAGTTGCCGACCAATAACATATGGTGCCTACCCTCACGAACACACCATCCCAAAACACAGACACACACACACGCAAACACACCCTTTGGTAATGGTACTCCCTGAACCCTAGTGAAGTAGCTTTCGGGTACACCGAACCGATGTACAGCTGCGTATGTTTTCACCGTTATATTCGTTTTGTTCTTCAAAACACTTTGCGCGAAGGCAGTTAACCCCTAGACATTATGCACTTTTAGAACGCTTTCATCGCCGTGCCGAAAAAAACGGTTCTCCCAGCCGAAGATAGAGTTGTTGTTGAAGGACGTACAAAATCATTTTCAGCTTAGCTGATACTCCCTCCTTCTCGCCATTACTCCTTCTGCTCTTTAATCGTTGCCCGGTTTCCTTGCATCCAATGCTGCAGGCGAATTTTAGCTTCTTTTCTTTTTTGTGTGTGTGATAAGTTGAGCATTATATTTAGGCCGTAGGTTTTCCGAAGTTAGTAACAAAATTCGGCGAATGTTTTTTTTCGGTTTTGCTTTTTTTTAATGTCGACATATTTAGGTGCGGCCTCTGACCTACGTTAAAACCGCTGATTATCGGTGGAAAAATAGCGTTTAAGTACTAAGAACTTAAGACTAAGGGGAAAGGATTTCGACAAGAACAGTCCTGGCTGGATAAAAGATTTCCGAAATTCGGTGTATTTAGGTTTAAAAAGATATTGTATATTTGACACAAACGTATGTTTAACAAAGGGCGGTTTGGTGAAACTACAAGAGTCAAAGAAAGAATAAAAGCACTTAGGGACAAGGACAATCAGCACAGTTCTTTGGGCTGTCTGTCCTTGTCCCTAAGTGTTTTTATTCTTTGTTTTACTCTTGTACATGTGTTTATCGATTCATTTTCTGAACCGATTTTGTATTTATGACACCTACTGTTGTTTATTTGTGTTTCCTTTCGATTTTAACCAATTTTGTGTGTTTCACACCGACGGACGTTTTCGGTGTTTACGCTTAAAACCGGAAAACCTATGTCCTAAATGTACTTTACTTCAGCAGCCCATGAAGAGTATCGTTCGAGGAAAGCGGAACTGTCCCGTCTGTTTTGTCCCCTACGTGTCTCCTCTTTCTATTTTTTTTAAAGAGGTACCTCACTGTTTGTATGCTCCATGTCACAAATGTCTGCGGTAAAGACAAAATCACAGGTGCGTGAGCTTAGCTCTGCAGAATGCGTCTGTTTGCACAAGAACTCGTGTATAAAAGGCACTTTCCAAAGCCACGCGTTCGTGTCCAAGTCTTTGTCTCCACTGCAGATATTTGTGAAATGGAGTATAGGATATTAAGGACAGAAGGGATCGATATTTATTCCTTCTGGTTGAACCGTTAGGTAGCTAGACAATTCCAAAACAATCTGTATGGAGTCCCCCTGGGCGTTGTTTCAAGATCTATTGTAGGTTAACTTGTTTCTGATCGAAGTTGACACACAGGGGTGTTCTCCCCTCTCCCTAACATGAAAAAAGGAAGGGAAAGATTCCTAGCCGTACTGAAAAAGAGCCCTTGACAACCTTGTGTTTCCCTCAGAGCATCTTGTCAATAGTTGTCCGCTTCTTTGTTTGTTTTATTTTATTGTTTAAGCTATCTCAGTCATGTGCCACTTGGCAAGTTTTCTGAAATCGTATATCTTTGTTGGGCATTTCGCATCCCGAATCTTGCAACGTGACAACCGAAGACGCAGAAAGGGAACAATATTATTTTTTCTGCCTCACATGAAAACGTTTTTGATTGGACGTCAATTGTTTCATTTTGGTTTTCATTTTTTCCTTTCGCAGCGTAGGTACCCAACAACCCTGTAACTATACTGTTGCATTTTCTCGAGCGCATTACGGCGCGAACGGCATATTTGGCGACTCTGAGGTCAATCTGATTAATTATCCCTTCAGACCAAGAGTACCCGTCGCGAGTTAACGCACGCTGCTTGTAATTCCTTTTAATTAACGACTCTCGGCGATTCGCTACTCACAACATACCAATAGACTTCTTTCGGAAATTCCCGCAAGGCCTCTCGTCGACCCCACATTGCACCATGCGGCGTGGTGAATTGTGGGGCCGTTTTGACGTACGGTCGGACCGGCTAGTACGCTCCGTACATCCTAGAATCAGCGCAATTCCTAATCTCTTATCACTCCGAGATTAGACCATAAAGAAAACGCAGAAAAAAAAACATCGCAAGGCCGATGCGTACCCTGTCAATGAAATAACAGTGAGTGCGCAGGCGAGCTGGTGGATTTTGATCATAATGTAGTAGACTGTGGTAAAAGCTGGGAAACTTGGTCAAAAAAAGACAGGGGAAAAGAACGTCTTAAACTCAACTGAGCTGAGTTTGAGACGTTCTTTTCCCGTCTTTTTTTTTTTTTCGACCAAGTTTCCCAGCTTTTACCACAATCTCGGGTATTCTACATCATGATTTACGTACTCGGTTTCATTGTCGTCCTGCTTTATTTACGTTCTAAAATCCCAGAATGCTAAACCATCATGAACCACTCCTTCTATCCATGGAAGAGTCGTTTATACTGAGAGCGTTCGGCGAATGGGAGAGATCTTTGCCTGCTAGAACCAGCAGATTTCGCGATAACACAAACTGGCGTTACTTCTTTCCCCCCTTTATTCCTCAGGAGATCGCATAGAATTCTTATGAGTCAAAGTCCCCGGTTCTCAATTGCGCTGCTGTGGTTGCCGGACGGAAAAATCTTTTTACGAAGGTCAAACTCTCTCACTAAGAACGGCTCTGTTCCATCTGTAGTCGCCCCTTCACGTGCAGTACATCGGACTGCACTAGTGCGTCGAAAAGACGATGGGAGGCGCTGCGTATTTCCAAAATGGCCTAATCGTCAAAAGGCGGAATGTTATCGTAGTTTCCAGATATTCTGACCTACAAACTTCTAACAGTTATTTCAGTTTTTCGTCTTACACATGGTTGTTCAGCACATTTTGAGCACACGCAATTTCTGTCTAGACAAAGCACCGGCTACTTTGCAAACGCGAGCACAGCCCAGCGCGGCAATGTGATTTTCCTCTGGTCCACGTGTGCTGGAAAAATCTGCGCTCAAAAACAACCCTGGAAACCACTGCTGTTTTGCAACTACAACGCGGAGACTCATTCACGCACCTGTAAAGTTCTTTTACTGCCAGGTCGCAGAAAAATCGTCGTGGAAAACCATCGCCAAGGGAGTCATGATTTCCTAAGGCTTCCCCCGGTGCTTCACCATTCAACAATGTTTTATTTTGGTTCGTTTTTTTTTTTTAGATGGCAGGCTTTGTTAATTGCTGTCACGACATAATTTACGGCGCCACGTTATGGTATAGCCGAGTCACGCGCACAAGAGTTCGTTTCACTAACCAACACGACATACACATTAATACTCCTCCATGTGCCTATATATAACTGACTCTCTATGAATCTACAATCATAAGCTTGCTGGTTGAGCGATACCAATTTTTAACTACTTCGTCGTACTTGTTAACTTTCTATAATAGTATGCTTATGCGTCCTTCGCCGTTGTTGTTGTTTCTTGCTTACGTGAATACCCTCGCAGTATTTTAAAAAGAGTGAAATGCTGCAAACAGCTGTAAAATCCGAAGCTTTGCGTCGTTGCAGACGAAAACTGTCGTATAGGGCGCATTTGTAGCAATTCAGCAATATACTATTCCCAAATGTTTCTATTCGAAAAATATTTTCTTTTTTAATTTATGCCTTCTTAAGAGGTATCACCATGTGTTACTACTTGTTAAAAACAATTACCCACACACACGCTAACTTCCTTTTTTTTCTTTTTTTTTATAGTTGTCACGATAATGTAGTCTTGTGTACGCTACTCCCGGTAGCTAGATCATTATAATAATAGTATCGCTCCTTTGTGTAATTTCCTTTAGGAAGTGTAGATTCTTTACGCGCCATGCTTTCGAATACCTTATCGTCGCAAATAACTACATGCTACGAATCCTAGTGTTTTGTATGTGAAACTTCCTCCAAGAACCTAGTGATGTCAGTCTTTTCGATTCAATTCAATGGCAATGTTGCCGAAGTTCGGTGCACAAATAACGACGACCGACCTTGTACCCGAAATTCATCTCAGAACTACTTACCTTAGACGTTCCGGAGTTGATCTGCTGCTTCGTCGAAGTAATCAGTTTTCGAGAGAGTTCCAATATATAAACACGCACTCACGCTCTCAATTTGAAAGCTGGAAACTAAAGCACCCCCTGTCCGGTGGTAGAGGCGCAATAAGTGTAATAATACTCATTATTTGCGTTTTGTATACCTGTGCCAAAACCGACCGCACGACACGGGCCTCCTCATTCTAGTCCGGTAGCGTGGCACCCACATATAGACTTCCCGTGTCGTGGGCACGAAAGAAGCCTACTAGAAGGCGCCATCTTGATTTCGCGTCCATGGTGCACTCAGCTACGCGAATATGCACTCGCAGGCATCGCTTTGTCGGCACTCGTTTCCGTCGAGCCTCACCGCCTAGAATAATCAAAGTCCGCGCCCTAGCACTTCAACGTCATCACTGTGAAATCAATCACACCCACCGATTGGAACCGAGTGCTGCGTCAGCTTTCGCCTCTCCCTCGTGTCCAATCAATGCGTCCGAGTGTGATAACGTCACGGGGAGGTAACAGCAAGCTGTCAACACACCATGCGTTGTTGTCACAAGCTTTCATTATTCTAGGTGGGTGAGAGAAGGTCGTGGCCTGTGATAAGGCCGTGCGAGCTGATGTCTTTTTCTTCACTTTGATTCGTATATTGCAGACAGCGCCGGTAAAAAAAAAGAAAATGAAGAAGAGGGGGGGGGGGGGGGGGGGTCAAGGTACTCGTATTGTCGATGTCACCTTCAGCGATGATGTTGTGAGTGTTACTGTTTTCTGTTCGGCTTCTCCTCAGTTGTTCTGGGTTTTGACGCACGATTTGACTATATTGTGTAGCATCCCGAAACGCCGTTCTCGAAGTGTCCACTTTTAGTACTCCCTTGGGTGCACTTCCTGAAGGCGCCTTTTTTCTCACTGTTCCACGGAGCCTCGCCTGTAATTCTATTTTCCAAAGTACGTTTCAGCTCATCTTTGTGTATAGTCTCA